GATGCAGTAGGATAGCCACCGTTGGTCGAGTTGGCTGGCATTTGATCAATAGAACCATGACCTTGAGGCTGCTGAAGAACGCCAGAGCTTCCATCGTTCGGCAGAACATACGGCGTTGCTCCGATGGGATGCTGATACTGAGGAGGGCCGTTGGAACCAGGAATGTTGTCATCTGAAGGAGCGAGAGCGTGAGGGTACAAGGAAGAATCAAGATTCCCTGAGAGGGCAGCGAAGCCATAAGGATCCTGCTGCTGGGGGTTGAGGCCATATTCAGCGAAGCCGCCGTTGTCAGGAGGCATGTAATCCAGGTAGGTACGGTATTGATCGTGCTGCTGGGGCGCATTGGGATTGAAGCTGTCATGGTTCTCAGCAAAAATCTGCTGGCCATGGGGAAACTGATAGTGTTGACCGCTGTCGGAAACAACATAGCCGTTCTGAGGAGAAGCGAGGTTCTCGGCATTGCCAACCTGCTGCTCGTTCTGGCCGACGTCGCCACCGAAGTAGTCGCCAGGATTCATACCCGCCTCGTCGTCAGGTCCGCGTCCATTCTGACCAAACGCGTGGCCAGGAGGCATACCGTCTTGGGACATCTTGATGATGATCCCTGTTGGCGCTTGGGAAGATGGAGTCGGAGATGGATAGCAAAGGACTGGGGAAATGGGCAACAAGTGTATGGAAGGGGTTTTTTTTTCGAGGGCGGCGGAACGCTCTAGAAGGTTGGAAGGGGCAAATTCGATGCTTCTGATGATGCAAACAACAAAACCCGTCCAAGATCCGCCAGGAAGCTGGAGATCTTTGATGGTTTTGATGATCTAGCAACAGGGAAGGATGAAGGAAGGGTTTGTGAAAGGGTGTTGGTGATGGGAGAAAGAGGTGGGAAAGGTGCGAAGGTGGGAGAGAGAAGAGAAGGAGGATTTTTGTTTTGTCTGATTTATTTTTGACCAAATCGACCTGTGGGCAGCCTCCTTTGCCAAAGGGACTCGCGTGTCTGTATCCTGAGGTGCCTTCACCCTCATCGAGAGGCCTTCAAAGCGGAGAAGGGTTACCGCATGTGGTTAATCATCAGGGCTTAAGCAGGTCCCGGACTCTTGAGTTGAGGAGGAACAGGTATCGTGAAGGGCGAGAGCAGAGCGGAGCAGTTGCTTCTGGTTGTTCAGGAAGGTCCATCACCTCCTTGCTCTCGCCTTGGAAGTCTTGGAAGCGCTGCTGCTCGAGACGCTCCTGTGAAGAGGTTCTAGAACTGCCTCATAGAGGGGGTGGAATAGCATAAGTCAGGGCGAAGCTCCTGCAAGTGATGGACACCCCAATAGCGGGATGTTCTCTGATCATAGTCTTCACCCTAACTTGACAGAAAAGATGATTCATTACTTATTTCTAGCTCATACTTGTTGAGAACTCTTTCCTGTGGCTATTTTGCTCCTGGAAACGAGAAATACAAATGCCAGGCTGGGCTCAGAAGTAATCACACATACCCATTGGAATGCTCCTGCTGGGAAACTGAGCTCAGCAGCGGTGGGTGCCAGAGACTCAAACACTACATCTCTGTTCTAAGATGGATGAATGGGGCTTGTGAATCAAGGCTGGGACCCGCAGGTTATCTTAACAGGGCATCTGCACATTGCAGTATGTTGGCTTCCTGCGTGGGAGCCTGAAAGCAGGCTTTATGCAAGATGTCTAAGCTGCATCCTTGAGCCAGCTTTGTGTTGGCCTTTGGCTCTGATATTCATAATCTGAGAATGGGAGAAGGGTAAGACACTATAGATACATGATTTGAGCTCGTTTTGACAGATCATTGAAATCATCTACATGAGATCCATAGTTGGGAGCATGTTCTTGAATACCCTGCGGCGACACTGGTCCAGCCGGCAAGAAATATCTTCAAGACTTGGAAATGAGGGGAGATTCGGACTAAAAATGGCCCACAGAACCTTGAACTTCTTCGTACGATGATATCATTGAGTTGCATTGTACTTCGCGTCAAAAGAGCGCGGCCTGTTGAGCTACTTCTTCATTCTTCTCGACAGATACAAGAGATAATGTCTCTCACAAAAGCGGCCTGACATAAGCATCAAAGACTGCAAACGCAAGGCGACATCAAAGAGTCATGAAAGGGGCCTGAAAAGGATTATCTCTTTCCCACAAGCGCGGATGGCCAGCTCTGATCATCCTCCAGAATTCGATCAACGGGTGAGAGATCCAGGACCTTGGATGACGGCGGGATGAACCTGGCCTTCCACAAAGTACCCAGTACATGGTGGCAGACACTCAGTTCGCCGGCTCAAGATCGCAGAGCAGTTCATCGCTCAAAAGCAAACGAGCGGCAGATCGTCCACTCGGGCCAAGCTGCCATCAAACCGACGATCGAACGGAATCAAAAAAGACGGTACCGGAACCGAACTTCTAGAATCAAATGCCGACACGCCCGAAGAAGAAAAGCCAATCCAGCCTTGCGAACACGCAAGAAGATGAGATCAGACTTGTACGCGTACCCGCATCAAGAACACGGACACGAATCACGAACCTAACCAGTCTCCCCCGCAAACCAAGCTTTTCTAGAACGAAACACCAGAAAACCCAAAGAACGAGCGCTTCGTGCACATACCAGTTGACGCCGTGGACATTTTTTCTTCTTGTTCCTCCTTCTTCGTATCTCGCCCGGACCAACAGGGACGCGTGTCCCTCTCTCATCTCGTCTTGCGGCCCTCTGGCCCAAGCATACCAGTTGACGTCGTCAGACCTCCGAGCCCTCCATCCGCAACCGCAAGAGGAACTGGCCTGTGTCCAAATGATCGAGAAAAATAAGCACGCCCATCCATTTCCAGTGAGGCGGCACACCCACACCAACCCACATCAGAAGCCGCCCCGCGGAACTGGGAGAGTTGAAGTCAAAACAAGAGCGGTTCGTCTCTGGGGTAGGAGACCCGATTGGATGGGCCTGGGGGTTGGAGGTCTGCGAATCAGGTGACACCAGCCGATCCATCTTGGCCATTTGCGGCGACCGCAATGTTTGATTGAGATGACCTTCTTAGTCAGCAGTAGAGGCTTCACAAGTTGCTTCTCCAGGCCCACTTGGTGTCGTTGATTGGCCTGCAGCGCCTTTGGTGAAGGATCGCGGGGTCCTTGGACACCGACGTCCTGCACGACGGACGCCCTGCCATTGTAGATGAGATTTTTCATGAGATTTTGAATACGATATTTTCTGCGCTCATCAGTTTGTAGACGTTGCGGGTCGTTCCTAGTCACAGCTCGTGTCGTGTTTAGACGCTTCTTTCGTTGAAATTTCCAGTGACAATCCTCCAACTCACAGACATCCAAGATGGGCTCACAGCTGGTCTCGACCGACGCGAAGAACAAGCTGGAGGACTTGTCCGGCATCCCTATCCAGCCCGGCGAGAATCCTTACCAGGCACTCATCAAGACCTGCAACAATGACCCCGTAAAGTCCCCTTCCACACAATATTGTGAACCTATTCTGATGAGTCAACCCATAGGCCGAGATCCAAGCCCTCTACCACGCTCACAGGACCAGACGAAATGAGCAGCAGAAGGAGAAGTTCCTCGCCGCCGACTTCACGGAGCTCATCATAGACCCTTTCCTCCTGAGGCTGGAGAACCCTCAGATGGAGCCCGGCTTCAAAGACCCCAGAAACTGCTTCGTCTTCTGGGCCCGCCCGCCCGATCACATCGTCAGACTGGCAGCTCACCTGCAAGCCTTGCTCAAGAAAGTTGCCCCGAGTACGTGACATCACCCCACCACCACCGCCGCGCCAAAAGCAACCAACCGCGAGCCTCCCCAAAAGGCATCAGACGAAAAGAAAGCAACGCAAAGCTAACCCCCCAACCAGGCATCTGGCTCATGCCCCAGCACAGAATGCACCTCACAACCCTCGAAGTAACCCACTCCAAAACACCCGAGGAAATCGCCCGCCTCACCGACACCATGCGCTCCGCCATCCCCTACATCACAGACTACACCTACACCCACCGCGCGCGCCTCGTCAAGCCCCAGATCTCCCACGACCTCTCCGCCTTCGCCGTCTCCTTCCTTCCGGCCGCCGGCGAGCCTTCCGCCGGCGGCCCGTCGTCACCGGCGCCCACCGCCGCGCAGACGCCCGTTGTCGGCGGCGACGCGTACAGCTACCACCACCTCCGCCGCGACGTCTTCGACCTTGCACAGTCGACAGGGGTGCAGATTGAGAGCCGGTACCAGGTGCCCAGCGCGCACATCACACTGGGGCGATTCCTGGGTGGGGCGGACCACGCGACGCCCGCGGCGAGGCGGAGGTGGGTTGAGGCGATTGAGGAAATCAACGGGTGGCTTGAGAGCGAGGTTTGGGGAAGCCATGAGGAAGGAGGGTGGTGCGGTGAATGGGTTGTCGGGCAGGAGAGGGGGCTGGATGCGAGGAATGGGCCGTTGTGGTATGGTGGTGGACGAACCATCAGACTCGGAGAGGGCTTTTGAGCAGGCACGGAAAGCAGAGAGGCATCATACAGACACAGCATCTAGACGTAGAGACGACGATCATGAGAGAATAGTCCTTCATCATAGACTCATGTATTTCATTGACCGGGCTGAGCCTTCATAGAACGCATCTAATCCTTCAGAGACCACATCCGAGAAAGACGTGCGCCGACGGAACAACAGCAGCCATCCCACATCGGGTGCCAGAGTACCAGAGCCCTCAGGACACCACCGTCCGCCAAGATTCCCACGCCTTCCCCTCGTCATCTTGTCACACTGTTAAACGTGTCGTATTGTGGCCTCCAGGCGCGCATACCACAGACGGAACATCGGACGGGGAAACGCAGAGGAGGGAGACTGGGTATTGAACTTTTGATCTCTGTTTTCCGTTTCGCAAGCAAGGGCTTTTATTTGTTCCCTATGTAGTGTTCCGCACTTGAGAACGGGTAACCCTCTTCGCCATTGTTCCAGCCTGATGATGATCCGTATGCCGTGAAAGGAGCCATAAAAGTCGGTCGACCGAAAACAATCAATGCGTTTAGAACACCAAAGCAGCACCCTTCGTCTTCTTGTCACCACTATAGATGTCATTAGCTTCCATGGTGGATGTTTGTTAGGAACAGGGGGATAATCGTACCCGAGCTCGAAGTGCTTGCAGCGCTTCAGAGCGAGCTGAAGCTTGGTCTTGCACTTGACGCACTCCAAACGCAGAACGACCTTCTTGGTGGTCTTGGCCTTCTTGTGGAAGACAGGCTTGGTCTGACCTCCGTAACCGGACTGCTTTCGGTCGTAACGTCTCTTTCCCTGCGCGAACAGCGAGGCCTGTGATGGGGAGCGGATTAGCATGTCGTTCATGGCTTCGTCAGGGGCGCTTCGCTCGAGGTTTCTCGTCATCGGCGCGTGTGGTGCTGTCGACATACCTTTCCGGCCTTGTACTGGGTGACCTTGTGCTGGGTGTGCTTGCGGCACTCCTTGCCCTTGCAGTAGGTCATACGCGTCTTGGGAATGTTCACTGCATTTCAGACCCCGTGTCAGCCAACTCGTCCCTTCAAGATGATCCTCGCACACAAAAGCTCCTCATGGTCTGCAGTCGGAATCGATTTTCCCTTCGATTTTCCCTTCGTCGTGCGCCGTCGCGATGGTGGTTGCATGTCGCCGTGTTCGTTGGTGATTCGAATCGTCAAGCCCCCTCGTGCCCTCGTCGAGTGCGCATCGTCGAAAAATTGTCGGTGGCCACGGCGGTGCGGCGGCGCGGTGTCGAAAGTATTCGGGCGTCACGGAAGCATTCCCCCTCGTTTGCAAAATCGAATCCCGACTGCTAGAATGACCACGCTGGATAAAGACATCATGCTAGTACTTACCCATCTTGGCGGCTGTTTGTCGATTGTCGCTTGCCGGAGTGTCGTGACGATGAATTTGCTGGCGGGGAAAAATGAAAATCGTCGTTTTCCTGAAAGTGCTCGCTTGTGTGCTGCGGCTAGGGCAGGACGGCGCTAGTCTGGTTCGGGAGAGCAGGGTGTGGCTGAGGCGAGTTTTCAGCCTCGTCGCCAGCCACCCGGGCTGTGTCAGGTGACTTAGGTTCTGTCTGCTTATGTAATGACAGCTTGGCATGCTCAGCGCTGGCAGCATGGACGCTTCCAAGGTGTGCAGCGCTTCACCGGCGGAATCCCCCAATCAGCAGTAGTCAATTAGCTGCAGGCCAGTGCCCGCTGCCCTTTGCTCTGCTCACCACCGTCCGCCGCCGCCGTCAGACGTTCAGCTGAAGGGCCAAGCTCACGAATGTCCTTCAGCACAGCTCTTTCCCCAGCCTCCCCCAGAACACAAAGGCCGATGACTAATGCAGCGCCGGCTCGCGCTTCCACTTCTCCATCCCGCCGCTTGTCACTTTCTCTCGGCTCTTGACTCTCGACTCTCGCCGCCTCGCGTCTTCATTTCAACCTTCCGGGCCGTGTACCGTGTACCGCGTAAACCAAACCGTAATCCGCCGACCGTCTGGACCGTCCGTCTAAACACCGAAACACAAGCCGTTCAGATCTAGGGCGAGCGTAATGATCTTGGGTCGACAGTCGCGCGTCAGAATAGTGTTTCCGCGATAGACACGCAATCACTTGTTTCGTTGTCGCCCTTTCTGGAAAGTCTCAACTCACTTTTGCGACTCGGACGAGTCATGGCCGGGGGAGAGGATGGCAGACCACCAGACCAGCAGACCAGACCTCCAGCTTCCGCCTCTCTCACCGTTCTTCGTCTCTGCCCTTGGCCTTGTCTTGCCTCCCATCCCCATCCTCCCCAGCACGCACTCTGAGCAGAGAGATCCCATCCATCTCCCCGTCCCTCCTCCCCCCAGACCCCAAACCTTTTCGTCTTCCCGCTCTCAACTCCCGCCCGAGGCTGTCTACCAATTTCAGCTGACAGACGATGTCATCGCACGATACCCCCGCTGTCAACTCGCCCGGCTGTCGGCACTGACGTCAGTACCCAGCTAAGCGTTTGCTATCCCAGCTTTGACCTTGCAAAGCCATTCAACTCGACGCCCAAAAGAATTCAGTTTCGGGGAAACTTAGTCACTTTACTGGTGACGTGATCTTGTTTATATCGGCTCACGCGGGCGCCAAAACCGTCCGCTAGCATGGCGCAGATTGAGTGCATCCATTTCCTTAACTTCGGAAATACCATCGTGCTACACTATACTATACTCTGGAGGCCTGGAGTCTGGACTTGACCCCCCAAGGCTGATGCCGTCGTGGACTCCCCTGGCTCGCGGGTTAAAAGGTTACCCGATGGGGGTTGTCCATCTCACGACGAACGCCTCGCTAAGCAGGGGCTCGGTTGACGGAGATAGATGCCACAGCGCCATCCATCGACGATGGCGTGCCCTAATCTCGACTAGCTCCGCCGGCGTTCCATTCGGTGTCCCGTCAATTAGCCGTCATGATGGTGCTAGGCTAAGCCGGAACACTTCAAATCGTCGTTGACGGCCAGGTGACACGCCGAAGTGACGGGCCTTCGGGGCGTACGCCTCTGGCCCTTGACATCTTGGGGCGCAAGCCAAATCGCCGGGGCTGAACCGCCGGCTTTCGCGAGGCGACGGCGGCCTCATGCCTTTACCTGGGGCGAATTGATTATGAATGGTGGCTCGGATCACTCTGAACTATCAGCCCCAGCACTACCACCTGGGCGTGCAATCTACCGTCAATGCTTCCGTTCCTTCGTCAAGGGCGCGCACGCAAAGGCCCTCTCGATACGGACGGGTAATACGTTTGCAGATTCAAAGGGTCCAGCGAACGGAAAGCCAAGATGGCACAGCACACCAGCCGGCTTGCCTACGGGATGAAACCTCTTCGAAGTACGGGTAATTGAGATTCACCTTCACACAAAAAAAGAAGCTTTGGTGCAAAAAAAGGGCGGCGAGCAAGAGAGATCAGATTGAACTTGGCGCGGCCCAGCAAACAAGTCACGCAGACCAGCAGCCACCATCTTCTCGCTCAGGTCCAAAGTAACCGGACGAAATAAGAAGCACGATTGAAGCAGACACCCGACTGGAAGTACGCCCGTCCTGCTTGAGCCCAAAGCTAAAGTGCCGGAAGGGCGTCTTTAACTGGGTGACAGAGTGTTCGGCTCACCGTCAGATGGCCTTCCGGTGGCGGGCCATTACGACGACGTGCCAAAATAAACACACGAAAAAGATGGGATTTTTTGATTCGGGCATAGAGAGAGGGCGAGAAGGTGGTGGCTCGACACGAGACGGGGACGCAACCATTCATCGCAAAACGGACCATGAACTTCCCCATTCGTCGCGATTGTCGAACTGCGGCGTGCGAACCACCAAACCCGAGCCGCAACAGGAACGGCCTCCAAAACAGTCCAGTCATACCACACGCGTGGCGCAGACGCAGACAGGACGGACGGGCAAGCTGCGAAAGATCCCAGGTCCCAGACAGTGGTGGGCTCTAGGTTGGCTCTACTAGACTCTAGTGCGAGTGTCGCGAGCCCAGAGTCCAGGTACACCCGACATTAGCGTGTTGTCTGTCCTGTCTGTCCAGAATCAATCCGCGAAGTGCAGAGTCTAACATAGTGCGCCCACTATGTGCGCGGGAGACGAGAGTCTCTCAGTTAGTGCCACTGCAAAGTATGCAGTAGTGGTAGGTAGAGAGTACAGTAGCACCCAAGAGTCTCGAGGGTCGCTTCATCAAAGGATGAGGCCAGCAGACGGAATGGAACGAACCAGGGCTGCAGCGATGAACCACGGCCGTCCCTGCGCCGGTTCTTCCCCCCTCCAACTCAGTCCAGCGAGTCCCAGAGCCCAGGGCCAACCTCTCTCTTCTTCTCTTTGGTGTCTTCAGTCTTTTCCCGTCTCCTTCTGTCCTAAGGCCCTTGACAAATCGCTCCAGTCTCGCAACGTGGGTTGAGCTTGGCATGAAACGTCGCCCAGCGCCGCAACGTCGACGGTTTCAGATGCACCAACTCCCGTGCGCTTAAACCACGTTCCTTGCATGTCGACACCTTAATCGCCGCCCCGATTCACGTACCACACGTCCCAGTTGCTAAAGAAAGCAACCGGTTACAACCACCTCCCCTGAATGCTACCCTGTCCGCCAGAGAGACGCAGCAGGGAGGGCAGAGGCAGTGTGGGCAGTCAGTTCTCTCTCTCTGGGCAGACTGGGCGTGAGCCTGATCTACCGTCTACGCATAAGCCAGCGCCCCACAGGGGACGCGCAACCTCTTCTCATCTTCTCGAGTCTCTCTTCCTCTTTCCGCTACCAGCGAGCCGCTGATCCCATGCGCTCTGATACAGCTTCGCGAAAGCCTGTATTGCCTGTGCTTGCACGCATCACATCACATCACATCACATCACATCACTCCCACCCGCCCAGCTGGTTGGTGTCCGGCTATGACGGGCCCCCGAAGATCCAAGGCGAGAATTCCCCAGAATTTTCTCCCACCTAATCTCGGATTTCGGGACGGGACGGCAGGCCCGGCAAGGGCCCAATACCACCAAGAATTAACCAAGGCCTCGTATCGTCTCAGTCATCACTCAAGCGAGAGAGAAAGAGGGGGCCATGCTAACTTCAACATCGAACGGGGGGAGGCGGGCTAGGCTCAACTCCTGCAATGCCAATACGGGAAAGGCTGCCAAGGTACGTTCAATCCAAACGATACGATGATAGGCTTGGTAGCTGGGGGTGGAAGGGAAGGGATGGAAGAAGCACCATTAGCAGCTTGGCCCGCAACAAGTTGAGGCTCACTGTCCCCTGTCCCCCGGCATGGCAGCTCAAGGTCCGTCCTTGCTCGCTCCCCGCGACGTTGGGAGCTGAGACAGAATGGCGTGGGAATGGTGGACAGTCAAGTCAGAGCAAAAGAGGCAAAGAGGTTCGGCAGTCCCCGAACCCTGGACATCCCAACTAGCACATCCTCCTTGCACCCTCTGCTCTCCTCCTACTCCTCCTCCGCAGATCAGCCCGGCCAAACACCCCTGCGCTGCCGACTGGTCGGTCCCATCTGCTCGCTCTGTTGCATGATATGTATGTGGCTTGTGTCTTCTATACGTCCAACATGCGGTGCTGGGAGCTTGCTTGTTTGAAAAGTAAGGTCTGAGCCGGCGTCTGGACTGGGTTGGAAGGCAACGTCACTTGCACCGATATTTTCTCAGTGGTCCTTTCTTTATAGCATTAGCCTTTGCCATTCCCCTTCTTCTAGACTCCCTTTGCGTTCGATTTCTTCTAGCCAGGCCACAACTCCACCAGATGTTTTCGTGATACCCAGATACCCTAACGACCACCTCTCTTCACCTCTCTCTCTCCGACAATCATGGAGCGAGCACAGTCTCTCCTCACCAGCACCACCCGATCCATCAGCAGCACGCGATCCAGTACCCGCTCGTCCCGCTCGAATTCACTGTACTTGAACACACCAGGTCCGGAGAAGGGGGAGTTCTTCCTCCCCGCACCCACATCCACGACGATTCACCAACCGAAGATCCGGGTGCGGGCGATAC